GCATCCGCCAATTTGGAAAATTGCTGTTTTAGCGCTTTTAGTGATGTGGAATATCAGAGGGTAATTGCTGCACTGGATTGTTTCTGGCATACAACTTAGCACTGTTTCAAAAAAATATCTCGAAAACTTCTAAATATCGCAAAAAATATCCGGATATTTGTGTAAAGGCCTACTTCGATCTTTCCTAGGTAAGTCGGGAAAGAGGTAGGCCTGTCCCGACTTATCTTGGAAAGATCGAAGCGACTCTGTTCATAGTGTTTAAGGACTCGGGTTATTGTAGACATCTTCAGTCATCCATTGCGCTAATAAAATTCTTGAATTTCTCACACAAGAACAAGTCCCAAACTGAGTGAAAGGGCGAATCGTTAAGATTTAAGACTGACTACAAACCATATGCCTTGTAGGATGACTTTGTACCCGTTAAGATAACCTTCTCTCAAACAAACGATGTGCTCGGCGATCTCTTGACCTCAGTGGAAAGTTAGTGAGAAAAACCGGTTCAGCATCTAAATATATCCAAGTCATTTGGTGAGCAAATTGAGTGATTTCCACCAGGAAACAACTGCCAGTTGGGATCTTTTTGCTTTCTCCGAGCCACTAACGGATGTCCATAATGATGTCCAAGCCATAAAAGCTATTTTATTATTTGAGAAAATGAGATGGTATGGAAATTTGAAATAATTCGGCGATGAAATAAAAATACTTGCCCTTCCGAGGAGCACCAAGACGGCGTCTCCGTACAAAGCTTTAAAAATCTGGGTGAAACACGTTTCCAAATAACTCGCGATTGAAGAACTACACAAACCTAAATCTTGGCGGGGTTGTTTATATATCAATCATCTATCATATCTCAGATTCTTGACTTATTAATGTATTTAAAGGTTAAGATCTTTAATTTATATTTTAATTGGTAATGGCAATAATAGTAATGGTAATTCTTTATTTATAGTGGCAACTCCACTTAGCTCAAAAGCTACCTCATAGGAAGCCCACTATTGAAATTACATAAATATACATTAATTAATAACCAAGTGAACAAAAATTTACCTCCTGGGGTATTCTTCTTTGAGCTCTACGCGATGATTTGTTCTTGATATCACTGGATTTCTTGCAAGTGTAAGCTGTGAAAATTGCGTTCTTTTCCCAAGGCTAGGTCTGTTGAAACTTTAAAACTAGCGATACAAGGGCAGCTCAAGCATTTAACCTCGCAACGCCGTCTTTCAGACAAAAACCCTGATTTCTTAATCATTGCAGCTAGCTTATGGGCTCGGTATGTTCTTGGTTGAACGCCGCATCTTTAATGTTGACTTGTAAAAGATACTTTTCAAGCAGCAATTCGAGGTGTAATAAAAAAAAAAAATTAGGTGTTGTGACAACAATCCTGGCACGCCAAAATTCTTGAGTCACTTTGCGTTTTTGCCAACATGACGTCTTTTTGGTTACCTTCCCCATCCCATCCCAACACAATATTGGTGGGGCATATTGATAGTGATCTATCCAATGTAGACGCACTATTCCAATATAAGAATCATTCAACCAAAAATTCCAGAACGAAAATCCTCGAAAATTTGAAAATTTGGGTATACCTGGAAATTTCCCAAAATTGAAACAGGTATTTTGGTCCAAAGGAAAGCGCCCATATTTTCATACAAACGGTTTCACACAAATGCCTCGTGTTGACACGGGACAAAACTCAATTCGGAAATTGTCTGCCGTCTGAAATTGCATCTCATCTACGTTGGACTACATTGGAATGCACCAGGTAATCAGGAGCCCGGGCTCCTGAATGCACATAATAGTCTTGGGTTTTTTAGGGACAGGTCATTATTTAACGCTTGGGCGGAGGGGGAGTCGGAGGATTTTGAGGGGATTATTTTATTTTTAGGATAACAGAATGGGAGATCAGTCATAAGAGAGAGCTCTAAAG